TGCAGATCCAAGCTACCTGTTGGGCTTTTGCCGCCATTCTGGGCGATGGGTCTGTTGTGACCTGGGGCGATCCTGAGGATGGTGGCGACAGCAGTGATGTGCAAGGTCGGCTGAAGGGCGTGCAACAGATCCAAGCATCTCTGAAAGCCTTTGCTGCCATTCTGGGCGATGGGTCTGTTGTGACTTGGGGGTTTTCTGACTGGGGAGGCAACAGCAGTGACGTGCAAGATCAGCTGAAGGACTTAGTAGCCCAGTGGTACGCTTTTCCCTTTGTTTTGTTTTAGGTTCCCTTATAAGGTAGCCAACCAAAAAGAAGGTGCCCTTATTGTAATATGGTTACTGGGCTACTAAGAGGACGTGCAGCAGATCCAGGCGACCGACAGGGCTTTTGCTGCCATTCTGGGCGATGGGTCTGTTGTGACCTGGGGTGATGCTGGCCGTGGTGGCCAGAGCGGCGATATGCAACATCATCTGAAAGATGTCCAGCAGATCCAAGCAAGCCACAGAGCTTTTGCTGCCATTCTGGGCGATGGATCTGTTGTGACCTGGGGCGATGTGGACTGTGGCGGCGACAGTCGTGATGTCAGGGATCGGCTGAAGGATGTGCAGCAGATCCAAGCTACCGACACGGCTTTTGCTGCCATTCTGGGTGATGGGTCTGTTGTCACCTGGGGCGATGATTTCAATGGTGGTGACAGCAGTGATGTTCAAGATCGGCTGAAGAACGTGCAGCAGATCCAAGCTACCAGCTGGGCTTTTGCTGCCATTCTGGGCGATGGGTCTGTTGTTACCTGGGGTGATCCTGCTGATGGTGGCGACAGCAGTCGCGCGCAAAGTCAGCTGAGGGACGTGCAGCATATTCAAGCCACCACCAATTATTTTGGCTCTGCTTTTGCTGCAATTCTGGGCGATGGGTCTGTTGTGACCTGGGGTCATGCTGGCCATGGTGGAGATAGCAGTCCTGTCACAGATCAGCTCAGGAACACGCACCCTGATGCTGAACTGCTCCCTGCGCAGCGCTCAGCAGAAAAGACCCCAGGCCCCCCAAACCCTAAACCCTAAGCCCTAAACCCTAAACCGTCCTAAACCTTAAACCCTAAACCCAAAACCCCATACCCTAAACCCTGTTGTTTGGCTGGCAGCTTGTTTTTCCTCTTCGGGCTCCTATTTCTCATTACAGGGCCTGATGGTGGGCAATTCCCCTTGATTAGGATCGGTTTAGGGTTTAGGGTTTAGGGTTTAGGGGTTTTTCATAATAAGGATCTCGTCAGAGTTCAAGGTGTGTATTCGTATCGCAATGAAGGGGTGTCGGGCGTCCGGGCGTCATGTCCACCCTATTTAGAGAGGCCATGTGCTGTTCAACTCCGTCTCGATGGCACGCAAACCCCATGGTCCCAACGTGCTACAGGGGTCGGAATAATTACTAATCATGTTCCCTTATGGTCCCTTTATCAATATGCTAGAATCACCCTCCCTGTTGAGGATTACTCATCAGTTCACCTTCGTTCCTAAAGCATCAGAAGCCCCCAAACCCTGTCAACCCTAAACCCTAACCCTAAACCCTGAACCCTAAACCCTAAACCCTGCAGTACTTAAGTGGTCCCGGTAGTCCTAAACGCTGTTCTCTACTAGGCCCTGGCCTTCTACACGGCGCGGAGACCCAGCCATAGCTTTCCCAGGAAGATCACATCAGCTCCTCTGTTGCGTTCTAAGGGCTTTTGCGGCTCCAGAGCTTGCAGGGGTTTAGGGTTTAGGGTTTAGGGTTTAGGGTTTAGGGTTTAGGGTTAGGGTTTAGGGTTTAGGGCCTGGGGGGTGTGACAATAGTAAACTAGAAGGACGAGTACGGGCCAAGAAGACATGTCGTGTCCGCCTTTCGCGACAAAAACCCCCTCACGAATTTAGCCACCCAGGGTTTGGGTGCGCGTAGCTCTATTCATAAGATGTGAGCCAAAAAGCGAAAACGTGGGCAAGACTGACGGGTGGGATGGATTCCCGGGTTTTTGGGGCATGAGCAACACCAGCCTAAACCCTAAACCTTGAACCCGGCTCGATGACGCGGATTCCTGGGGCATTACATGAACCGGAAACGCTCATCATAATGAGCCTTTAAAAAGGGTTTCTTAGACTGAGCTCCCTGAGGGTTGAGGGTTTAGGGTTTAGGGTTTAGGGTTTAGGGATTCTTGGACTGAGCATTTAGTGAAATAGGGTTAGTAAAGGACCTCGATATTCATGATTATTGATGGGCTTGTTTAACCTTCTGAAAGCCGTGAGTCAGCTAGGAAAGGGAAAGGTGTCCCATTCGCTCACTCTTGTACTTCGCGAGGTTGAGCCCCTAAACCCGAAACCCTAAACCCTAAACCCTAAACCCTAACCCTAAACCCTAAACCCTAAACCCTAAACCCTAAACCCTAAACCCTAAACCCTAAACCCTAAACCCTAAACCCTAAACCCTAAACCCTAAACCCTAAACCCTTACCCTAAGCACGGCTGCCCACGAACCTTCGGGCAGAGCCCATCGGCGCTGATTGCAAAGGTCTTAAACGTATTGGTACAGTTCTAATTGGGGTTGCAAGTACCCTGAATCTCCAAGTACTTTAGGTACGTTCCCGCACAAGCTGATGCTAAGGCAGCCAGGCTTTGGGAGAGGGCCCCTGAAGCTCTAAATAGTCCACAAAGGGTTTCATAGGGTTCAGGGGGTTAAAGCAAAAAAGGGTTTAGGGCTAGGGTGTAGGATTGTAAGGTGTCCCTAAACCCTAAACCCTAAACCCTAAGCCCTAAACCCTAAACCCTAAACCCTAAACCCTAGGGCTTATAGGGTTGAATCTAGGGTTGTTGAGGGCTCACCAAACTCGGCTAAGCGGGTGCTGGGCAAGAAGGAAGTTGCGCGTCTAGCCTCCCAAAGCATTTTGTCGGCAGGGCCGAGAGGCCTGGCCAAAACTCCTGCTTAGGGTTGAGGGTTTAGGGTTTAGGGTTGAGGGTTTAGGGTTTTAAGGCCCCAAAGCCCTAAAACCCAAAACGTTAAACAACTGCAACCCTACAACCTGATTAGCGTTCCATCCTCAAGCGGCTTAGGTGGTCCCGACCATCATCTGCAACAGCCCAAGCAAGGGTGGTTGACACTTAGGATTTAGGGTTTAGGGTTTAGGGTTTAGGATTTAGTGTTTCGAGAGGCTCTGAATATGGTCCCTTACCCTCGTTAAGCTTTAAAGGGCTCCGAAGCATGGGCCCTCGGGTTGCACAGGGTATACAAGGGTTATTTAGGGGGGTCCCCTCTTCAGAGCCCAGACTAAGGGACAAAGCAACTACCCTTAGAGAGGCAGAGCATTTCTTTCGTGAGGCTTCGGGGCAAGTAGGGTTTAGAGTTTAGGTTTTAGGGATCCCTAAACTCGAACTCAAACCCTAAACCCTAAACCCTCACCCTAAGCCTTAAACCCTAAACCCAAAAGGCCTTAGGGTTTACTGTAGGGTGTATGCTCCGGGCCCTAGCACCTGAGAGGACCCCCGGGTCCAACAAAAAGGGAGGCCTTGGGGTTGCATGCGCGTGCGCGTGCACGAGGCAGAGCGTAAGTTTAGGGTTTAGGGTTTAGGGTTTAGGGTTTAGGGTTTAGGGTTTAGGGTTTAGGGAGGTCGGAATAATTTCTAAACAGTATCCCCCTTCGCGCCCCTTGGCCCCTTGAAATTGATACTATATAAACCCCCCCAAAATCCTGTTCTCGTTATGAAGGCCCCTTGGGTTTAGGGTTTAGGGTTTAGGGTTTAGGGCCTAGGGTTTAGGGTCGAATTCTCGAGGTCAGTCCCTTATGGCCTGGGCCGCCAAGCACGTGGCCCCTTCGACCATGGCGATGTATCCGGTGCCGGGGGGTGTAGAGGGGGGCCCTAACCCTAAACCCCAAACCTAAACCCTAAACCTCCCTAAACCCAATGGGGTCGGTGGTCCCTTGGCGGGTAGAGAAATCAGAGCTTTGGGCTACATGAAACAAGGTTTATGTCATTGTTAATTATTGGCGAGTGTATATAAAGTTCCTTGCAAATGTTGAGGTCTTTGATGGTTCCCTGTCGCCGTGTCAACAGTCCCCCCCACCCCCCCTCCGCCCCCCCATGGATGGTATCCGCCCCCCCCCCCCCCCCCTCCCCCAACCAAAAAAAATAAAAAAACAAAGAAAAACCTGAACCCTAAACCCTCAGGGGGGGCCGGGGGGGGTGCCATACCATGCGAGGGGGGATTGGGCGACACTGCACCATGTATCAATGTATTGGGGTGTCCTTTCTTGGGGAGACTAAAAGGCATCTCCTACTGCGCGTAACGGTGGGTTTTTCTCTTGCAAGCTGAGCTGTTTATTCTTGAGAAGGCCCTAGGCCCGAAACCCGAAACCCTAAACCCGAACCTGCAACCCCTCAACCCTAAACCCTAAACTAAACCCTAAACCCCTAACCCTTAAACTAAACCCTAAACCCTAAACTGTAGCCCGAAACCCTAAACCCTAAACCCTAAAACCTAAACTTAGAGGACCCGGGTGGCCAGGTGCTACAGCCGGTGGCAAGTGCCGGCCTTTCGTGGATCCTGCGTAGCGCGCCTTTGGCTGAAGCTCGGGCTTCTGGGCTTTGGGAACCGACAGTCAGTAGGGTTTAGGGTTTAGGGTTTAGGGTTTCGGGCTACAGTTTAGGGTTTGGGGTTTAGGGTTTAGTGTTTAGGGTTCAGCTGCTTTCAGGAGAGTTTTCATGGCCATGAGGGATGTGGGGCTATCACCCTGTGTTTTGGCAACTGCAGCTGCAAACAAGGACTTTCTGAGTTGTTCTCGTTTGCAAGAGGCGTGCAAGATCAACCCCTCTTTCCTACCTTCCCTCTCTCTGTCTCTCTTTCTCTCTCTCTCTCTCTCTCTCTTTCTCTCTTTATCTACTTTTCTCTCCCTCTCGCTCTCTCTCTTTCTGTCTCTCGGTCTCTCTGGCCAGATCACTTGTGACACCCGCAGGCCCTTTTTAAATCGAAGATGGCACGCACCATGGACCCCTCAGTTGCCCAAGCCTTGGAGCAGCTGGCCTCAGTGAAGGAACAGCAGCTGACTTCAGTGCAAAGCATCACCGCGCTGAAAGCCCAGCACCACGACTGGCAGCAGCATCTTACCGAGCTCCTCGGACGGATCGAAGTTCAGCTGCAGGTCCACGCGCCCCCGGTTCCTGCTGCACCGGAGAATTCTCCATGGCACATTCAGACTGGAACTGCGCTTGAAGCAAGTCAACCTGCGGAAGCCGGGGCGAAGCCGAAGGCGAAGACCGGAATGGCTGCGCAGGTGTCCTCTCGAGTCCAGCGCTCATGTGGAGACGTGGAAGAGAACGACGAGGTTGCGGAAGCCGAGGAAAGTCTTTTTGAGAGCAAGTTTGAAGAGACGGACGAGGGAGCACCGGAAACCCAGGTAGAGACTCGAGGTCGCGTATCGTCCCGCACGACGCTGGAAGACATCTTCCGCACCAGGAAGCTATGACCTTTTCAGGAATTGGTTTTTTTGTTTTTGTTTCTATGAAGCCCAAGGGAATTCAGAATCGCAGTTCTATTAAGGTTCTAAGGGGAGCATAGGAAGCTTACTGGCCCAAAACCCAACTTTTCAACTTTTGGGCTTCTTATAAGGTAGTTTATTCTGAAAGTTTAAACTTTTATTTCCTTGGGTTTTGGGCCCGTAAGGAAGACCGTGCTCCCGAAAGACAACCAGCCGATCGCCCTGGGCAGCGTCGTCCTGGAAGAAATGGCCGCGACGACTCAAGTGGAGGAACCACCCCTGGGCGATCTTTGGTCTCGCTTCAAAAGCAACTGGGTTGCTGTTTAGGGTTTAGGGTTTGGGGTTTAGGGTTTAGGGTTTAGGGATTGCTGTTAAGGAACTCCAAACTACCAGTTGCTTAAGAACCCCCCCCTCCCCAACAGGGACCATTATCTTTTCATCTTGTTTGGGGTTGTTAAGCACATAGTAGAAAAAAGAGTTGCGATGTAGGGGGAAATACGGGGGGTTAGGGATAGGGGTGTCGGGGTGGGGGCAGGGGGGGGGGTAGTAGGGGGGGGTAGTAGGGGTAGGGTAGGGTAGGGGGGGGTAGGGGGGGGAGGGGTACTAAAATGGGGATGGGTGTCCATGTTTTGGATTTTGGGTTTATGGTGTCTATATTTTGGGCACCTACTGCATCAGCAGCTTAGGCAAGGCTGCATACGTGGCCCATTCCAGCTGGTTCGAGCCACTTGGAGTTTATGATGTTTTCTTTCCTGGTTTAGGGTTGAGGAAACCCTAAACCCTGAACCCTGAACCCGCAACCCTAAACTACCCTAAACCCAACAGGGTTCAGGGCTTCGGGGGGAGGATCCTTCGCAACCGTCGGGGTCGCCCCTTTGCAGGCTTTCAGTCTACCCACAGGCCGTTCTGACCTCCTTGGACACAAAGAATCCTTGGGTTTAGGGTTAAGGTATAGGTTTAGGGTTTAGGGTGCAAGCTGGGCTTATAGGGTTTCAAGCTGATCCACGCCGATTGAGGTTTGCGTCCGGCTTTGTGATCATGGTCAATCTTGCCACGATTGGCGCGGAAGCGGAGCTGTCTTTGGCCCAAGGCGCCGGCATGGTTCTGCAACGGTTGCTGCGGCTGACCTTCGGCCACTTCCCCAACATAGACACCCCAACCCCTAATCAATGGACTTCATGCGACATGCTCTGTTATAGGGCCTCTATGCCTAATTTTCCCTTAGTGTGTATTCCGTGTTGGGGAAGGGGGGGGATTGGGGAGGGGTGATGTAGGATTTAGCAACCCTCCACCTTATAAGGATAATAGCAACCCTCAACCTTATAAGGATGATAGCAACCCTCAACCTTTTCAGGATAATAGCAACCCTCAACCTTATAAGGATAATAGCAACCCTCAACCTTATAAACCCTCAACCCTACCACAGCCAGAACCTAAAACAAGGTCGCTGCGCCCTCGCAACCACCTCAAAGGGCACTTTTCCCAAAAAATATAGGGTACCTAAAGCTGGCGTCCGCAGTATGAAGGAATCCTACTCTCTGGAATCTGTTTTTGGGGGTGTCCTATTTCGTAACCCTAAACCCTAAACCCTAAACCCTAAACCCCAAGTTGTTCATACCAGCAGGTGTGGAGTTTGGTCGAGACTCCTGGCCTTACCTTGTGGAGCCTGGGTCTTGGAGTACCATGCGTTAATACTTTTTTTGGTTCTGGGTTCCTATTATAGCTACTTATACCTAAAAGTATATGCTTTTTTTCAGGGTCATAAACCTAAACCCTAAACCCTAAACCCTAAACCCTAAACCCTAAACCCTAAACCCCCAGGCCTGGTCTACTCCAAAGCTAAGGAACGCGTTTTCTTAGCCATCTACTTGGTGGAGGCCGTTGTGCGAGGAGTGGGGATCGGCGCCTAAGCTCCATGAGCAGGGTTTCAGGGTTTAGGGTTTAGGGTTTAGGGGGTTCAGGGTTTTCCAGGGTTTTGGGTTTAGGCCAAGTTTAGGGTTTCGGCTTTGGGGTGTAGGGGGCTTAGGGGGGGTTGGGGGGCTTTAGAGGGTTTAGGTTCAGGTTGGGATGTTCTTCCTTATGCGAACGGTCCTTAATAGGGAGGGGGTGCGGGGGGGGGGGGCCAATCCCTGCATGTCAGGTTGGCCAGTATTGAAGGACGGCTGGTTCCTGATGGATGTGCCTAGCTGCATTGCCAGGGTTTAGGATGTATGCCCTACAGGCTTTTCCGAGTCTGCAACAGCGTGCCCGCACGCAAACAGCGCGGGACACCATGGCAGAACGTGAGATCACGAGAGAGAGGGAGGAGGCGAGAGAGAGCGAGAGAGGGAGAGAGAGAGCGAGAGAGCGCAATCCTTCATCAGGCCAGTGGAGGTTTAGTGGAGTCGCCCTTTGAAGCCCTAAATTAAAATGGTAGTTGTGCAAAAGAAACCCCTGTCCTGACAATAACCAGAAAGTAGGTTCTGTTCAAGGCCCCCCTGTTCAGAGCCTCTTATCCCATGCCCCGTCCCTTTAGCAAAGGGCCTTGAATGGAAACCCCAAACAGGGAACCCAAGAATGCAGTAGAATAATTTAAGAATATACCTACCAGGGTCCTTGTTCCCTATATACATATCCTGCTCTATTCTTGAGGTTCCCTGTTTGGGTTCCCATTAGGAACCCTAAACCCTAAACCCTAAACCCTAAAAATCCCTCGAAGCCCGAAGCCCTTGTCCGAGGCAGGCCTTGTCTGCGTCGGGTTGTTGGCCCTGCTGGTGGTTCCTCACCGAGCCATTTGGGAAGCCGTTTACTAGATAAGGATTAGGGTTTAGTGTTTAGGGTTTAGGGTATATATATATACATAGATATATGTATATGTAGGGTTTGTGTACGGGAATAAGTCTAAGGGTCCCTTCTAGGGGTCCCTCCTTTCACGCCTTAAGGTGTAGGGTTGAAGGTGAACCGTTTAACCCCCCAAGGTTCTCGGTATTACGGTCCGTTTGGGATTCCGGAGCGTAGTTAGTACGTAGATGCATTAGGGGTGCCCCCCCAAAAGGCCCATCATGTGAGGCCTTCCCCCATAACATGAAAGCTGCAACCAGTTTTTTTCATGGCTCTGTAACTTCAACCCCTAAACCCCAAACCCTAAACCCAACCAGTATGCCGGGGAGAAACGTACCCTGGGTGTCACCTGACGAGAGACCTACCAACCTATGCCTTGCCGGCCTTGTGCGAGTGTGAGAGTCGAAACCCTAAACCCTAGACCCTAAACCCTATACTCTAAACCCTAATTCCGAACCCTCTGCGGTGAAAGCTGGGGAAGACAGGTGCCCAGCTTCGGGGCAACCGAGCTGGAAGGTGTGGAAAAGCTCCTGATCGTGCGAGGCCTTCGCTTGCTGAGGCTGCTCCGGGCATTGAGGATGGTAAGACGCTGTGCTGAGACAGAGTGTTTTTCTGGATCCATTTTGTGTTTGTTGACCCTAGCCCTAACCCTAAACCCTCAACCCAGGGTGAGGAGGCTTCGGGGATTCCCAGCCTAAGCCCGAGTCGGATCTTCACAGGGCGTTGCCTCGGGGCAGTTGGAGAATGGCTTCGGGACTTTTTGTGACCGTGTTTGGCACGGGCTGAGGCCATTTCAAGATCATGTGGCGCCTGGTTCACGGCCTTCTCACATCTGCAGAAACCATTCTGGCGGTCACCATGCTCCTGTTGGTCCTCATTTTTGTCTTCGCATGCGTGGCGGTGGAGGTCATTGCAAAGGACAAGGAGCTTGCAAAGCATGATGAGCTCACTGAGTTCGTTATTGACGAGTACTTCAGCAGCCTGCACGTGACAGTCATGACGCTGATGCAGTTTGTGACGATGGACTCACTGGCCACCATCTACTTTCCGCTTATTTTGGCACGCCCAAGTTTGCTCTTCTTCTTCCTGCCGATGCTGATTTTCATTTCGATTGGCCTTATGAACTTGGCCGCGGGGTGGAACAAGCAACCGTTTCATATTTACCCCATATCAGATCCGGCTGACGACATATAGAGTTCCGAATAAGTAGCTCTTGTGTCAGCAATATCCCTACAACAGCCACCCTAAACCCTAAACCCTAAACCCTAAACAGTGGCGCAAGCCCACACAACCTGCTGGGGATGGGGAGAGCTTCACAGTTCCTTAGGCTCCCCTAAGCTCCTAAGCCCTAAGCTCTAAACCCTACCGGTTTAGGGTTTAGGGTTTAGGGTTTAGGGTTTAGGGTTTAGGGTTTAGGGTTTAGGGTTTAGGGTTTAGGGTTTAGGGTTTAGGGTTTAGGGCCCGAAGCCCTAAACCATGAACCCTAGTTGGAAGCTCTTCTGGCTGATTCTTAGTAGGGGAGGGAATGAGGTACCCTGAATACCTTAAAAGGTGCCTTTCTAGGGCCCTAGTTCCCTAAGAGCCAGGGAGTCTTTGGACTTAGCAAGTCTACGTAGCATCCCCTAGAAATCCCCAGAACCGACCTCTACTCACCCCCACTGGAGTTGGCTTCCAAGTAAATCTTGTGTTCTGAAACCCCTAAACCCCTAACGCCTAAACCCTAAACCCTAAACAAGCCCGAGGTCACCGCAGCCTTGGTCGAGAATGCCATGAAGCACCAAGTGCAGGTGGAGGAGGAGCACAAGATTGCGCTGAAGGCACGCGAGCCCTACATCCACAGGGTTTAGGGTTTAGGGTTTAGGGTTTAGGGTTTAGGGTTTAGGGTTTAGGGTTTAGGGGTGCTCATGCCCCCTAAAGGCGGCATGGACACCCGCAAGGCCCTACAAGCCATGGTGCAGAAGTTCTGATATGTGTTATAAAGGCCGGTGGCCTCTTCATCTGCTACCCTTATGCCTTAGTATAGCCCCTAGATACCCCCCAATAAGAACCCCCTACAAAACAGAAACCCTACTTAAAGAGACCACCAAGCAATATAAGATATGTGGGTAGTTCTCTACATCAGGTTCCCTTTTGAATCCTCCATTTTTTCTCTAAATAGTACGGCACCTTATAAGCAGGGCCCCCCCCCCCCCCCCCCCCCGAAAAGGGAGCCTAAGGCAGGACACCGGGAGTCCCCTGAACCCTAAACCCTAAACCCTAAACCCTAAACCCTAAACCCTAAACCGGGACTCCTCCGGCTTCCCTCTTTCGGCCCTTTCTCGTTGGTCTCACGACTTGCAGAGGTGCCTGACGCAGTCTTGAAAGCCCCATTGCACCCCTAAGCCCTAAACCCTAAACCCTAAACCCTAAACCCTAAACCCTAAACCCTAAACCCTAAACCCTAAACCCTAAACCCTAAACCCTAAACCTTCCGTTCATGGGTAAATTTTAAATCAAAATGCTCGCGATGTTCCCCCTTATGCTAGCAGTCCTTACCAGGGATTCTATAGTACCCTCCATGAGAATCCCGATTAAGGACTGCTTGTATAGGGGGGGCATCCCAAGCTAAAAACCTAAACCCTAAACCCTAAACCCCAAACCCCCCTTTGCCCTCAGAAACCCAAACCCCAAACCCCACACCCCAAACCCTAAACCCTAAACCCTAAACCCTAAACCCTAAACCCCCCTTTTCAGAAACCCTTGGCGGAATCGCGAGGCAAAAGTTCGCGAGGCCTTGCCGGCGATCGTGAAGATCTTTGAGCAGCTCGACCAGGACAAGAGCGGCAACATTACACAGGAGGAGCTCCGAGGCCTCTCTTGGGATCCTTTTTTTTGTTTCGTGCTTATCGGGTAGGGTTTCGGGTTTAGGGTTTAGGGTTTAGGGCTTAGGGGTCTATAGGGGTTTAGGGTTTAGGGCTCCTGTTCTTGTTTTTAGGTCCTCACTAGGGGGGGATTTTTGATCTCGGTATACGGGCTTATAGGGGGGCGGAGGACACCCTAAACCCTTTTGATCTCGGAGTGGCCTAGGCTTCGGCATGTGCCTGTCGACGTGCTGCCGCCCAAAGTGTTGTCAGCGGTGTGTGCTGATACTTGGTAGCCTGGTGGTGCCCGTTTCTGCCTTTTGGTTCTAGGTTCCCTTCTAAAGCAACCAACCCCAAAAAGGGTATCATGATTGTAGTATGGTTGCTGGGCTACCAAGGATAGCTGGGAAGAGCTTTTTGAGTACTTGGACGTGGATGGAACGGGCACGCTGAGCCAGACTGAGTTTGTTGAAGGCTTGCTGAACCTTTGTCTTTTGGACATGCCGATCGCGACGGTCCAGACCCTCAAGCTGCTTCAAATCATTCGCAACAGCATCACCCATATTGATGACAGCCTTTTGCAGATCAAGTCGATGGGCACCCGCTGACGGTCGAACTGACAGCGGCGCCGTCTGTCGCAACAGTTCCCAGTCTGTCTTTCCTCCGCAGCCGAAGAAGAAAGATTTTTCAACAGGACTGTGGGAGAGGATTCTGGGGTACTGTGCATTTGCACCCAAAAGGGCAAAGAAGACCCTGAACAGCGCATGGGATTGTAGGGTTTAGGGTATAGGGTTTGAGCAAACCCTAAACCCAAAACCCTAAACCCAAAACCTCAAGAGCCAAACAGGTGTGAAGCAGTCCGATGGGCCCCTATAGCCCCATGCGCCATGAGAGCCTCGGCAGGCTCTGCCGAAGCCTTCCCTCTTTCTGAAGACACTGGCAAGGGATGCCTGTCGCACCTACAAGGCTTAAGGTAGGGTTTAGGTGCTTAGGGTTTAGGTGTTTAGGGTTTAGGGCTTAGCCTTCGATCTTACCATCTGGCTGTCTTCTTATCAAGCGCGGGTCATCCGTAACGAACCAGGGCAGGCCCCAAAAAGGGGTCCAGAGAGAGACTTTTCCGAGCCACTGCGCGACCTCACTGAAAAGACACCTACCTGCAAATCATGTGAGGGTTTAGGGTTTAGGGTATTTAGGGTTTAGGTTTGTTGCACAAGGGTTTAGGGTTGATGGCAAGAAAGCCTTTCGCCCCAAACCCCCGCTTGAAGGTTCACTGGTAGCTATACGTGGGCTGACAAGGTAAGTCTTACTACATCTCGTAATTAACCCTTGTTTAGGGTACTTGCAGCCCTACTTATGTAGGACCCAGAGTCGGCCTTTATTCCCTTTTTTTGGGGGTGTTAGGTTCCTTTGGAAGCCCCCTTTACACAAAAAAGGGGTACCCTTTTTCTTCGTTGCTCTTCGGTCTAGTTCGCCGAAGCCCTAAACCCTAAACCCTAGAGCCCTTCAGTGGCTACCTCCTGGGGCTAGTGATACCGGTCCGTGAACCTTCAAGCAAACGAGCCCGGGAAATCTGGCAACCTCCTCCTCTCGCTGAGGCTTTCCCTCCGCTGCGAGATGTCCTGGTGCCTGGACCTCTGGCCAAGGGTGGGTACTAGGAACCCTGAACCCTAAACCCTAAACCCTGAACCCCCAAACCCCCCAAAAAAAGGTTCCGGGGCTCTCGGGCCCGCGTAGCTCCGTATACAGTTTAGGAGTCTAGCGGGTCTCACAGGGCCGGGAACTGGGAACTGGAAGTGTTTATGGCCTCTGAGGGTTGGTTCTAAGGCGCTCTTGCGCCTTGGCATATAGGGCTTTAGCCCTACGATCCTGACCCCAACTCTAGCAACCTGCGTATGGGTTTAGGCTTTAGGCTTTAGGCTTTAGGCTTTAGGCTTTAGGCTTTAGGCTTCAGGCTTCAGGCTTTAGGCTTTAGGCTTTAGGCTTTAGGCTTTACATTCGACAACGCTCTGCAAGGCTCTAACAGACCCTTTACTGTTCACGAAACCCTATACTAGACAAAGAGGAACGTTCCAGTTGCAATAGGGACCCTTTTTGTGCAGATTGATGCTCAGTTGTAGTAGGGTCCAGTTTCTGGTTGCAGCGTAGGGCTTCTGGTTGTGGCATCGGAGTTCCGGTTGTAGTAGGGACTTTCCCCCCCCCCCCTCCCCCCGCCCCGCCTCTCCTCCTCCAGGGCGCCAGCAGCCAACGCGCTCGGCGCGCTTCCCGTCGTGCTGGGGCTCTACTTGGCCGGGTGCTCTGGAGCAGGATCCCCTTATGGAGCATGTTTAGGGTTTAGGGTTCCGGGTTTAGGGTTTAATTCGGGTTGCTAGGTAGGGCCCCTGGGATGTTTCCTGTTTCCCCTTACTGGGTTCGGGAGGATTGTATGATGGATCACATTTTAGGGTTACGTTTTCCCTTGGATTGAAGGGAGTATTGACATGGGCCCTTGATGTGGCTCCTTACCTTATGTAAGGGGTTCTGAAGTATGGGCCCTTGCGTTGGATATAGTGTAAGGGGCATATGAGGGGCCACCGTGCAAGGGCCCATACAAAGGCTTACTGGCCCAAAACCCAACTTTTCAACTTTTGGGCTTCTTATAAGGTAGTTTATTCTGAAAGTTTAAACTTTTATTTCCTTGGGTTTTGGGCCAGTAAGAAGGGGCCATAGGGATCTTGTTGCCAGGGGGCTCTGAAGGGCCCATCCTCGTCGCCAAAAACCCTCACAACATCCCGAAGTGGCCTCTGATCTTAGGCAAGGGAAGCTTAGGGCTTAGGGCTCAGGGCTTAGGGCTTAGGGCTTAGGGCTTGGGGCTTGGGGTTTAGGGTTTAGGGTTTAGGGTTCCCGATCTGGAGGATACCCTGAACCTTCAAGCCAAAACTCCATGTAGCAGAAAAAATAACCTTTTTGTACTATATACAATCCTACCATAACTGCCATATGTGAAAGGGTAACCTTTGTTTGGGGCCAGGATGCTCAGCAACTAGGCATGCGAATCGGGCTTATCTGGTAAGTGTTGGTTGTCGGGTCGCCTCTGTGTTTAGCACTCTTGTTAAAGGCCGGTATTTGCAGGCTTCTGTTCCCTCGCGTGCACGCACTGCGTCTGTCAGAGTCTCCAAGCAACCCCACCAAGCGTTTGAAACCTGTTTAGGGTGTTGTTAAGTCAACCTGCGGCTTTCGACGTGGCACCCAGGTTCTGCATTGGCAGAACCCGTTCTGCATTGGCAGAACCCTTCTGCCACCACCACAAAAACGAACGTGAGAAGGAAAAAGCCACGAAGGCTGTAACTATGACCAGGTGTACTGTGCAGGCCCCTGCATAGAGGCCTGTGTGCTTAAGGACAACCCCCGCCCCCCCCCCCCCCCCCCCCCCGCCAAAAAAAAGATATAATACTCCCTGTGCTGACCTTATAAGGAAGAATTTGGTTTTGTTTTTTTGGGGAGGAGGGGGGGTTATGCAAGTGGTAGATACAGGCCTAACACTTTTCCGGCCAACCCTAAACTTGGGATGTTCCCCTTATACTAACAGTCCTTAATAGGGATTACGAGTATAGGGGGGACGATAATCCGCATTAAGGACTATTAGATTAGATAAGGGGGAACATCCGAACCCTTAACCGCAGTCGGACAGATGGCTTATCATCGGGCCCGTCGGATGATGTGGGTGATGACGTGGGAGCAAGTTCCGGAAACAGAACCCTGTACCCTCAAAGTTTGAAGTTCTAGACTTCCCCCCTGACTCTCTGAACCACAACCCTAAACCCTAAACCCTAAACCCTAAACCCTAAACCCTAAGCCCTAAGCCCTAAGCCCTAAACCCCAAACAACCGCGGCCATGGGTGCTGAAAAGTACCGCAGATGACGGGCCCCAATTGGCTCTCTGCAAGGGCTCTTATGTTTAAGATTGTTGCGGGCCCAAAGACCACACCACATGAGGTTTGTGGACTATGTTGTGCCTGAGGGTTATTTTCGGGTTTAGGGTTAGGGCTTAGGGCTTAGGGCTTAGGGCTTAGGGCTTAGGGTTTAGAGTTTAGGGTTTAGGGTTTAGGGTTTAGGGTTTAGGGTTTAGGGTTTAGGGTTTAGGGTTTAGGGCCGAAGGGTAGTGGGATCTGGCCATGCCTCCGCCGGGCGCGCGCCGACTGTTGCTGGCGGAGCCCTGGCGCCGCTCTTGGGTGGAGGGGTTCCGGGGTTTAGGGTTTAGAACCTTCAACAATACTATTTTATTCATGGTTTAGGGTTTAGGGTTTCGAGTTTAGGGCCCTCTTGGTCCCATGCCCCTGAACCGCTGACTTTAAGGGTCCCAGTGCATGCCCGCCCGCTCCGCCCGCTTCGCCCGGGCTCTCTTGGGGGCTTACTTGAAGCTTCATGGGTAGTTGTTGGACGGGTTATAAGTAGCCTAAAAAGGTGATGAGTAGTTATTAGTAGGGATATAAGTGCCCGAAATGAGGTTATGACCAGGTGTAATTGTAGTTACGCTACGTACTTACGGCCCCATACCCACGAACATCCAAGCGGGGTTCACGGCCTTGGGGCATAGGGTTTCTGCAGAAAGGGGTTCAGGGTTTCTAGAGGTTTTCGGGTTTGGGGGTGTAGGGTTTTGGGGCTTTAGGGGTTTTGGGTTTTCAGAGGTTTCGGGTTTAGTGGTTTTTTGGGGGTCGGGTTAGGTTTTTTTTTGTCCTGGCGAAAGGGGAAAAAAACGAGAGCCTAGAGGCAACAAAGATTTGCGACGCCACAAGGGATGCGCTCCTGCGCTCCGGCGCTTGGAGGTTCATGGGTTCTGATAAGCAGGTAGAATCAGGAAGAATAACACTGCTTAGAACCTTATGAAAGGGTGCTTACAACCCTGCTTGTAACCACCCCCCCCCCCCCCCCCCCCCCCCCCCCCCCCCCCCCCCCCCCCC